ATGAGTGGGTCTAATCCTACCACCCTCAATTTCTAATCTCTCAATCTTTTATCTTAATTGCTTATTCTCAAAATCGAGATCTCCTAGCAATTCATCTTTTAGTCTAAGAGAGGTTGTTAATTGTTCTAGCTTGATATCACAAGAAGCATGCAACTTTTTAAAAGAAGAAAATTCTTTGGACATTCTTTTGAATTCAATGTTCAATTCTTCTAGAGCCATAGCTAGATCACATTGCATGTAGAAGGATTCACTCTCGGTGTCAGATATTACCTCATGTTCAAGGGCCATGAAACAAACGTTGGGATCATGAAGAGCAAGTTTGGCTCCTTCTTCATCGCTATCCGAATCACTTGGTTCGTATTCTTCCCATCCGGCATACATAGCCTTCTTCTTCTTGTATTTCATGTACTTCTCCTTGAGCCTTGGGCAATCCTTAGCGATATGGCCCGGTTCATTGCATTCAAAGCATTTTCCTACACGAGAAGGAAATTTGTTGTTAGATCGTGGGTTAAATTTCTTGTTCATTTTTATGAGTCTAGAAATTCTTCTAGAGAGATGAGCCACTTCTCTAGAAAAATCAACTTCACTATCAGATGACGAAGAGGAGTTATCACTAGCTCCTTTGAGAACTATGGTCTTCAACTTTGGTGATGGCTCCTCAACATCTCGTGAGGGCACTTCCTCCTTCTCCTTCCCCTTGAGCTTCTTCTCATGGACCTTGAGCTTTCCGATGAGGCCATCGAGAGGTAAAGTGGTAAGGTCATGAGCTTCTTCTATTGCCGTTGCCTTGGGTTCCCACATCGGAGTCAATGAACGAAGAATCTTATAATTCATCTCTTGAATAGTCAACTTCTTGTCAAGACCATGCAATTCATTAATAATGTTAGTGAAGCGAGAAAACATAGCTTCAATTAATTCATTTGGAAGCATTTGAAATAAGTCATATTCATGCATAAGTCCACTAATCTTGGATTCCTTGACTTGGGGGTTCCTTCGTGTGTAATACACAATTTCACCCAAATTTCGTATGCGGTTGCACACGTGGAAACCCTATTATACTCGTTGGGGGAAAGACCACAAATTAAGGCATTCATAGCCTTAGCATTGAGATTGGCTTGGTGCCTTTCTCCATCGGTCATAGTCCCAACTTTGGACTTCTCTACGTACTTTTTCTCTATGAGTTCTAGGATGTCAAGGTCAATGCAACGAAGGTAAATTCTCATCCTAGCATTCCAATAAGGGGGGGGTGATTAGGGTCAAGAGGCTATAATTATGCAATAAAATTAAGACAAGCAAACCACAATATTCTAATGCAATCAAAATAGAGGAGATAGGGTTAGGAATCATTATCATGTGACGCGCGATATGTTAATGAGGTTCGGTCCGCTGACCTACGTCCCCGCTCCCCACTCTCGAGGAGAAATCCACTACACAACCCGGTTTGGAAGCCGGAACTTCGTCTACACAGCGATCCCCACACGATCTCATACTACACAGTTGATCTCACTAGATCACACTCCCTCACAGTTGATCTACACAAGATCACACTCACAAGATAGTAGAAATGGTGTAAGACTCTCTCTTTACAACGTCCCTATGGCAAAGAGGAAGAGCACACTGAAGCTGGGAAGTGAACACACAAAAACTCAGTGAAAACAGGTTTTGAAAATATAAGCTCTGAGAAAAACAACATCACTGGTTTTTGCAAAAGCTGGGACACAGAGGAAGAAGAAGAGGTGGAGTTTAAATAGGAGAAAAACAGCTATTTAAACCCATCCCTTAATCCCCCAAAATCTGGAACAAAACGTCGCTGAGATCTGTACTGAGCGGCGCCACAAAAAGGACAGAGTTTACCATTTGAATAATACGGCGGTCGACCGGCGGAAATTCTGGTCGACCGATGGAAATGTTCGGTCGACCGACGGAAAATTCGGTCGACCGCTAACCAGATCAGAAAAGAGAAAAACAAGCAGAGACTTGTCCGGTCGACCGGTGCGGTCGATCGAAGGAAGTTCTCGGTCGACCGTAGTGGTCGACCGACGAACTCTCTGCTGCCCAGAGAGGAATGAACATAAGTGTGGTCGACCGGTGCGGTCGACAGCATTCTGATACATCCCAAAACACTGTTTTAGACTTAACAAAAATATTTGAAAAATATTTATTTGACCTCTGAAAATTATGAAACTTTGCAAAATGTTTTTAATGCTAAAAACAAATTGTTTGGAAAAGAAATTTTGCAGATAGGTCCTCATACTTGTGAAAAATAGTATTTTGTGAAAAACGCTTAAAAACATAAGTATGAAAAGTAGTATTTTTTGAAAAACGCTTAAAAACATAAGTATGAAAACTTGTGTGTGATATCCCAATAGCTTCAAGTGAAGTCAATAACTCTTTGCCTACATTCTAGCACTAGAGAGAAAGAATAAAAGATAGCTAGTATCCTCATATAGAATGCAATGCTTGAGTCTTGATCTAGCTTGAATTTGATGAAGCTTCTATTTGAATTTGTTGTTCTTGAAATAACGTTGCTTCATCACTATACCTCCTCCTCCTTTGGATATCATCGTTGTAGCGTATATTCCATCCAATCCTTCATTTGTGGCACTAATAAGCTTGATATATGAATTCACTACATTTGTACTTAATAATCCATTAGTACCGATAATGGTGGTTGTAAAACATCATCAAAACATAAGGGCTAACAATCTCCCCCTTTTTGATGATGACAACCAACCATTATATAAGAGCAAAAATAAAGAAAGATAGCTCAAAATAAATATAGCTTATAGATAGGTGCTCCCCCTATCTATGAGCTCCCCCTAAATATATGCAACAAATGAGGAGATTTCTCTCCCCCTTTGTCACCATAAAAAAGAAATGGGGTAAAGAGAAATGTAAAATGCAACTAAACAAGCAAGCAAATGTAGAACTTTCACATAGTGCATAAGCCCAAACCATTTCTTATGCGACAAAAATCATCCTCTCCAAGAGGCTTAGTAAATATATCCGCTAATTGAGATTTTGTATCAACAAATACTAGGGATACATCTTGTCTCTCAACATGATCGCGTAAGAAATGATGGCGCACATCAATATGCTTAGTTCTAG